GTAGTTGCGCACACTTCGCATTCAGGTCTCCATCGGCCCGTGCTAGTTGTAGGTTGTCAGTGCTTGCCCTTGCTCCATCTCCAGCTTCGCTGTCCGATGGCACTGGTACAGTTGACCCATCCTCCAATGCTAACACTCTCACTGCTCCGGTGTCAGTCCTCCTCCTTGTCTCCCTAGGGCTACGGCCTGACCTCGGTGTCCCCCCCGGTGGTGTCGATTGCGCTGACGGGGAACGACTTCGTGCTCTACCTGTCGCAACTTCTCTCACCACTGTCAGAGTCTCCGCTTCGATCGTACCTGGACTAGAGTTGTGGGATGCACTCACCCGATCTGCGGCCGCAGCAGCTGCTCCAAAAGATGCAGTGCTGGCGTCGGATTGGTCCATCTTCAGTGACTGAGGGTAACTGATCTATCCGATGCGTGTGCGTTTAGATGGTGTTGTGTAAGGCCGCAGCTCGTACCCAGCTCAAAGGAGTCTGGATACGGCTGATAACCTGCGAACGGATGGAAAGGTGTGCCCTGGCCCCGTTCTAGCCCTTAATTCAACATGAAGCTCGCGCGCTAAAGCTCCTTTTTACCTGGTTGGGCACTTGAGCCAAAAGTATATGGCATGTACCTGTATAGCAACTATACTGGGACCTCATCCCTATTGACAGTTATCTTTGCAAATTTGCATTTTTGACCTCATTGCATGTAAGAAAAAGGAGTCCTCGAAGGAAAAAGATTGATTTGGGGATGCTAAAAGCTGACTTGGCAACAAGCTCCTTGGCAGAGCTCTTTTTCATGTGATACGAGACCTTTGCTCTTGCCTTTTTGCATCCTATTTAAGCCAGATTATAGAATATATAAACAAACATACAGAATCACTTAATACATATGAATCATTATGAATCATATAACATAATTGGCTGCAACGTCTAAGGCAACCACAGCCTGGCAAACGGATTTAATGTACGGGAACTTCTCCGAGATCTGCGTCATCCCAAGTGAATCCTCCGAGGCCTCCGAACGCAGTCGACGGATCGGTCGACGACATCCTCGACATCTCTTGCTTTCAGGGTGATACAAACAAAGAGTTCTACCCTGATGAGGACAACCACATGCTTCCTTTTCCGTTTCGGGTCGGGAAATGACACCTCTTTCAATCGACTCTAAGTCGAACGCCCAGTGGGTGCAGGTACCTAAGGGTCCCTACGTCCACATGGCCATGAAATGGATGTGGGTCAGAGTCTGGATTCAACATGAGTTTCTGCAAACATCATCATTTACTAGTAGCTAATTCTTGTCTGGTCGTATTCCCCCACGTATTCCCCCAAATTCCCTTCGCCGTTTGTTGGGTACCTTGCGCCTCCAAAACCAATTGAAACGTCGGCGAATCCAGCCTTCTGAAACTTCTGAAACTTGGAGAACTCTTGGGTGCAAAACACATTGATCAGTAGCGCACATCGTCCGACCTGAGGCCCATGTAAACATCAATTCATCGAATGCCAAAAAAGGATGCCGACTGAGGTTGGCACGTTAAAGATCGCCTTCTGCCGTTCAACCATCTCAATGTCCAAACCAACATCCTCCTCCTGGCAAACGATATCAAACTGTCAAGCAGGGAGAAGCCCTGCCTATCAAAGGGTTTGAAGGGCCAGTTGTTGGACGGAAGTTCGTCTTGATAGTCCTAATAATTCTACATAGACCATCATACACCTTTTTTCCCCTCGAATCTGAGCACTGTGACTATCCCAACAGAAGTGAACCGATTGGCAAGATGCCCCAGGACTGCTCCCAAAAAACAAATATGTGTGTATAAAAATATATGTGTATACATATATATATATATAAACCATTGCTTCTCGTGAAGTGGCAGATTTACCACTGATTGGTTTGTTGAAATATTCAATCCCCAGGATCTACCTCCTGCATGATCGTTGGGGCAGTAGGACCACAACAACTGGCAAAGTGAGTTCTCGATTGCCCAATTCTTCCGACAAAAATGCTGCACCAGCACACCTTCCCATCCGGCACGAAGAGGCAGAGAACAAGGCCATGCGGAATCGGTACCTAGAGCCATTTACAACGCAAAAGGGTACAATGACTCCTCATCGTCCATGACTTGTGAGTGAGTTGCAAAAAACCACCGTAAGAATCGGTAAGGCACTGTCTTGTTGAGCGGATCGTCCGCTTTCGGGTGGAGAAAACAAAGATGTGTTTGTCTTCCGACAGAGTTGGAAGTGTCAGCTGTCTCTGTTTGAGCTGAGTTGAGGACCCGGTGGGATCGCATGCCAGATGGAGTATGGATTCCAATCTGAACCACACAAAAATAGACTCAGACGAAAACAAGGTCACACCGTCCGTCGCTTCACACATGACCAAAGGCCATTTTTGCGGCCTGCAAAGCACCATAAATTGCAGGGCACCTCAAGTAGCGGAGCGCGAATCCATCAAGCTTATCCATCAAGCTGCACCGGCTGGAGAATTGTAATATGTTTTAATCTCTCTGTTTGGAAACATCTGCTGAGCCCCCCACACATTTCCAGGGTTCCACCCTCGAGCTATCGCCCTCACACGCAAACAAAAGGCATCGAGGCGCACTTCATGCACACAGCATAACGACCAGCCAACAAGATCTTCTTAAGAAGCACCCGAAAAAAAAAAAAATGATTTGAGTTAAGACTGTTTGGTCCTATTGTATATATGTATATTATGAGGCTGCAAATGGGAGGTTCCCGACCGTCAGCGGCACTCATTGGTGAAAAAACACTCTGGAACACGGAGACTGCTTGGGGAGAGAATGAAAGCAATGCTATATCACAAAGTTATTTTCCTTCCATTGAAGACTGATTTTTTGGGGAAAAAAAGTGCAAGATGAAGTTGAAAGTTGCTAAATGTGATACAGGTCCTGGTGCAGGGTGTGAGTTCCCCGAAGAATTGCGGTTTGAAGCTATCAAATGTATGCGAAATTAGACACATGTGCTTTGCATTGGTAAACGCAATGTTTTGTGACCCTCCAGGAATCAGCGCCCCTGTGAGTCTGCCTTTTTTCTTGATTTCAACACCAGGTGTTTCAAGTTTGACACCTTCACACATTCCTCAGTGCTTGCGCGAAGGATTCTCGAGGATTGACGCTGAGATCTTGCAACCTAGTAGGGGACCTGGAAGGCAAGACTCGTGTGACCGACCAGACAGCCGCAACTGCAACAAGAGAACCGAACACAAAGCAACCAACAAAGAAAACGGTAAATCCTTCATGATGCCAAAAACTGCAAGATGCATACATCCAAAAAATATCTATCTGCGAAGCGGGTGTCGCCCCCCACCCCTGCGTTTCTCAAAAGTGTGGAATTGGTACACAAAGTCTTGTAAATAAGTCAAATTTCGCAAATAAATGTCTTCGGGGAACCCTCCGTCTGCAGGGGCGATGTTCAACAGCGAAGGCCGCAAGTCTTGGTCATTTCAGTGCAAGACACCCCCGCAAATCTGGAGCCCCGGCGCTTGCAGCAACGCCTCTACGCCGGCCACATTCGTGGGAGCTTGGCAGTCCACCTGGACCATCTTCCCACCAGATGGAGTGCCAAACGGTCCGTCTCATGAGTGGAAGTGACACGCACGGCAAAAGCAGAATTGGGCGGCCCATCTGTGCAGCCCTTGAGGGGCCACAAAACGAACCAGAAGACTTCAGTTGGATTGTGCGCACCCGGGTGCACCCTTTCTGATCCAAAGTGCCTTCCGACAGGTCTGCCACATCCGAGACCCTGGCCACATCAAGGACCTCTCTGGAATTGGCACGGTCCCGACGCTTGGCCTCTCACGGGTGCACGCGCTTGGTGGTGGACTTTTTGGAGGGAAGACCCAAGAGGGAGGTCCATGGTCCAGATGTGGCCTTCCAAACAGTCAGCATCAGTCAGCTCTTTCTCGCAAAACCGGATCTTGCAGGGCTGAAATCGCACATGTCAAGCGGGCGACAGGAGCACACACCGCCCACAAAGCCCCGTCCACCGAGCCTCCGTCGGGGGGGAGATGCCGAAGCTCCTCTGTGGGTGGAAGGTCAGTGCCCGCAGCAGAATACTCTGAAGCGCCAATTCACCCCCTTTAACCACGAAAATAGCTGAATAGCAAGTACTTTGGGGGGTATTCTTAACCAAGCAAGTACTCCCTTTGTACTCTTCGCGTCACGAAAATCCACCCAAAAGCATCGTCATGTTTCTTACCGCACTCGCACTCCTCGGACTCCTCGGCCCGTCCCTCGCGTCGACACTCTCGGCTCCTCGGCACAGAGCACCGACCCCGCTAGGTAGCCGCCCACAAAGGAGGCGCTCGCTGCGCCAAGGCCCTGAGGCCCAGGACTGATATTGGCTGGCTAGTGGGCATCCAAAGTGTTCAATGAACAAGAACAATCTTTGGTGGGGGGCCACTGTGCCGAAGTCCTTTAAATAGCCATGACACACATCTCATTTGGAAGAACTCGACCAGAAAATATCAAGCGGAATTAGGTCCCCCTATCGTGAGCCAACAAATCTCAATGCCAATCATTGATCCATCTGGCATTGATGTACGGGTTCCAACAAAAAAAATAAGAACATCCCAGGAACTCCAAGAAACCCGGCCTTGTCATAGGGTATTCGATGCTCACAAATAAAGCGCATGGTTGGAAAAGGCCTGCAGGCGTCCTGGCGAGTTCCGGGCACCCCTGCAGCGCAGGAATCTGCAGCGCGGCATCGCACAAATCTGCTTCGGTTTGGCTCTAGTAGCGTTCTTGTTACTAGTAGCTACTTGCTCCTAGTATTATGGCCAGGAGCCCCTAGTAGCGTCCTTGCTCCTAGTAGCGATGCCAGGAGCCCCTAGTAGCGTTCTTGTTACTAGTAGTAAGAATGCTCCGTTCGTAGCGATGCCAGGAGCCCGGTTCGTAGCGTCCTTGCTCCTAGTAGCAATGCCCTTTGTTCCCAGTATATACAGTAGCTTCTTGCTCCTAGTAGCGAATGTCGCCACAATTCTGCGTTCCATTTTGGTGGTCAAAACAGGGCAAGCCACGTCCCACCGTCCCGGGCACACCTTGAAAGCGTTGGCAGCACCTTGCACGACCAAGTTCTCCTCATTTCGAGGCACCTGCGGCGCAAAACGAGTTGCATCCAGCTTGCTGGGGCTCTTTTCGTCCCCAGCATTGAAGGTGTGGGATGTAGGAGAAGAATTCCGTGGATGACACCGTTTCGCCACCAAACCAACTCGAAAAGCCAACCACAGTGACCGTTCGCAGTGACCACACGGTCGGATCGGTCATGTGCTTCTCGGGGGTCGGTGTGTGCCTCTGGACTGTCGGGCCCCCGGAGCTCCACAGAGAAGTGATCTGAGAACTCCAAGGTGAACTCATCCCAGATATCGACAGCCTCACAAGAACTGAGGCTAAACCTCACTCATCCAATGTCAAAGGGCCCTTTGGGGCAGGGCAATTGTCCTCAAAGAAAGGAAGAAGAAAACACCAGCAGGCCATGTGTTAGAGTCTAAGTCTTCACGTACAAACCAAGAAAAGGTTCGTTTCTTCGATCCAGCGGCCATGCCCACGACCTCTAAGCCCGGCCCCAGGTTCGCCACCGTGGCCGGCACCGAGACCGTCACCCGGCGCTGGGCCAGGCTCACCTGGGCCGTCCCAGAAGAAAGCACAGTACCTATTGGGCATTTTTACATGACATGACATGGAATACCTGGATGTTCCATCAATTTTCGGATGGAAGAGTGAAGTGTACTGCTGGGCGAGAATTAGACCTTGGTGCCTCAGATCACCCAGCACGACACTTCCACTTCCACAAGAAGGTCTGGGAACGTGGCTGATGCGTTCAGCAGCTTCTGCAACTCTTCCTGACAAAAGTCCAAGGAGACAAAGTTCCTTACTCAAGAGGATTGACCTTCAGGTCCCCCTTGCCAAATGGCTATGCCGTTTTGCTTCTGCAGACTACGCGTGTCGCTCAATGCCCACGATTCATGGAAAGGTCCTGCGCTGTGGCGGCGAGCCCATACTTTTGCGCGAAAGACACCACCTCTGGCGTCAGCCCATTGCTACCTGTCAAGCAGCGATGCAGCTACTCAGCTACACCCGCCCCGACCCGAAGCGCGACCCCCATGAATAGGGGAAGAGTGAGGGTCAAAGAACACCTCTCAGCCAAGATGTTTCATCTTCCCAATTGCCTTGTGGGCAAGCCTGCAGCACTAGCCTGCCATCCTGCTAGCATCAGCATCAATCTGTCAAAAACCCAAACGCCTCCATATGCCGCCATCCTGAGAAGGCCCTTGAGCTGCTGCAAATCTTGTCTGCTGCGACGGCACAGCGTCCACTCCCAGCATTGCAAGAACTGTGGACTGAATGCAACATGTCAATTTGAACCCATGCATTTCTGCTCTGTCCACGGACTTGGAAAAGAAGCCCCACGGCCATGTTTTGACAAATATCACCGAGAACCGCATGTCGCTGGCCGATTCAAACTTCCTGGCTGAAATTTAAAATCGATCCTTCCTGCTACACCTTGCAGGTGCAGTCAGGTGCGTCTTGGCTTACAGTTCAGAGTTGGTTCACAGCCAAGATCCTGCCGATGCATCGAACTCTGGCAAGGACAGATCGGAGGGCAAATCCTGGCTGGTGAAACTGCACTAATTCCCGAGGGCCGGTTCTGTGGCTCAGCATTGTCAGCCAGAGCAACCAGAATCAAACAAAAGCTGTGCACCACGTGTCCACATTCACCAAATGGGAATCTTGAGGACTGGTGCACAGCGGCCCAGCATGTCAGTTTCTCTTCAGATCTACTACGAATTGATGCAAACCAGCCCAAGCTGGAGGTCGAAGAATATCTTTCGCCGACCGCCCTTAAGTCAGACTGGTGGCCTGCCTTCCCATGGGCCCAAGCCCGGACTGGTGGCCTGTTTTGAAGCTGTGAACGGAAAGGCACGTCCGAAATGTCACAACTCAAGGGGTAAGGAGCCGGCAATTCAGGCTTTTTTCGGGAGGATGCTAGATTTCATCCTCAAAAATGGCGAGGAGGGTGAACTCATCCCCCTGCGCACTGGGAAAGGTTGGCAAAGTGTTGGAGATCGCTCCCTTCGGAGCAGCAAAGGGTCTGGACTTGGCACATTCACAACCGCATCCATGGACCACCATCCATTCAGATTGTTTCTTAGAACCTGAAGCAACACTCGGTTCAAACAAACAATCTTCAGAAATCACTCAGCGGCCGGGTGCTGTCAAAAGAAAACACGCCCCAATGGGCCGGCTGAAGAAGTTTCGGATTGTTTCGGTGTGCTTCTGGAGTCATTGAGCCACTCATAGCATGACTCGCCCTCCCCCTTCAAAAGGTACTGGCACTTCTTCAGTGGCCCACATGTTCTGTCAGTCAACCGGCTCAGCTGATCATACCTTGGGACTTCAAAGAGTTCGGATTTTCTCTCTCTCTCTCTCTCTCTTTCATGCACATGTGCCAGCGGCCAAGACAAATGATCAAACCTCTGAAAAAAAACACGGAAGTTCCGGCCAAGACTAAGCAGTACCATGCAGTGCCCAGGTCTTCTGATTGGTGTGTCTTTCCTTCTCTCCGACTCACCTGGTTTCAGTCATATCTTCACCCAGATGCAGCGCCGCTCTGTGGGAGAGCCACTGAGCCATGCCTGTGATCGGTGCTTCGGACGGGTCATCGAAGATCACAAGTCTCCGATGTGGACAACCAAATGTCTGCAGGCGGACAACCATGAAGCAGATATTGAAAAAAATATGTGCCAGGATAGACCCCCGATAGCAAAAAGATTTGTGGGTACCCTGCAGCACTCCGCAGGGCACACTGCAGCGCACAGGGCCAAAAAACATGTCGCAGCAGCACCCTCGAGCGGTACTGCTGCGGCACCAGCACCCAAGCTCCCAAGCGCACACAGCAGTGGCACCCTGCAGCGGCACCAGCACCCTGCAGCTCGATTTCACGCACACATGCAGCTCTTCCTATACTTGAAGTAAGAACCCCAATTGCTCACGCCGGACAACTCTTCCGAAACCGCAAGAACATGGTGGTCCGCCGAATATCGTGGACACAACGAACTCTGGGTAGAGGGTAGAGCCAAACAACAGGATACAACAAGTGCAAGCCAGGTACCATATTCCAAGCTGACCATTGCACCCCGTCGTCGTAGCATGACCTCAGCAGCATAGAAAACCACCCCTCTTTCTCGGATTTGCATGTGACGTAGGTTTCGTCTGCAATTAATCAGATCACCTCACACCAATCGAACAAATTAATCAGATCACCTCACACCAATCGAACAAGGGCGACCACCACAATGCCTAAGAATTTCGCATCCCACGCAACACCAAACTTCCGCTGTCGTACCTGTTCCTCATCCCCAAAGAAAAGAGCACCTCCCCCCCGCCGCCTGCAAAGGTCGCGCGTAGAAACACGCGCGTTCGCGTTCGCGTTGAAACCGCACGCACAGGCCGCGGACGTGCTCAGCGTCTGGCTCCCCAAGGCACAACCTCTCCTCCGGATGCAGCTCGAGCAGTCCCTCAAGGAGCTCTGCCAGCTCGGGGGATAACACCTAGGAGCAAGGACGCTATTAGTAGCTCCTGGCCTTACTACTAGGAACAAGGACGCTACTAAGTAACAAAGGGCATTTCTACTAGGAACAAAGACGCTATCAGTGGACACCTGGCATCGCTACGAACGGAGCGATCGGACGCCACAAAACAACAACCACCACACGGTGGACTCGGTGGGCGATCTTTGGGGAGGTCGGAGGTTCTTTGACCTACACACCATGTTCAGAGATGTTCAGGGTGAGTCCCATGTGCAAAAGACAAGAATACAAATATATATATATATATATCGTATATATATATATACACCTTAAACTGACCAATGAAGCTTTGAGAATATCGTCAACCCCCTTGGCTGCCTTGTGTCTTCAATATCCAATGAGACCTAATCACACCATCCAATGCGGTTGACATGTGGGTGACCGACAGGGAAAGAAAAAAGCCCTGAGAGACTGATGGATGGATCTACAACTGGGATGAAGACGACTCCTCGCCTCTTTGTACTCAAGAACCGTGTCAAGAAACCGTCAAGCAACTTCCGCGAGAGTTGTTGAAACCGTCAAGCTTTTTCCCTCAAGCAGACTTCAAGATGTTTAGATTCACGCGGGCATGTCGAACTTGGCCTCGTCCCCCCAAAAGAATAAATACGGAAACAGGATGCCTCGACAATGCGAGGGCTCACACCCTTCTTGCAGGTCCGCTTCTTGATGAACTCCCTGAAGCCCCACATATGAATGAACCTGAGAGAAAAACCCGAAACACTTCGAAACACCATTTGCTCACCCAAAAACTCCAGGCACACTGGCCAGGCATGCCTGGCACACTGGCACCCGGCCAGACACTGGCGAAGCTTCGCCAGAGTCATCCGAAATCTTTGGAGACAAGAATCTGAAGTAAATGGTGGAACAAAAATGGAGAACTTGCAGGAACTCTGAGATCATTTCGGATCCATCCAAGACACTCAAACAACTTGCAGGTTCCCAGCCGCGTGGAGATCCATGGGTAGTCGCTTAATGCCATTGCATATAGAACGACCTCAAATGCAAATACTGGTGCAAAGCAAAGTTACTAACGAAAAGGCCATGGGGGCGCTTTGCACTGCGGCACCGCATGCAGCCAAGCTGCTCCCAGGGCAAAGTCATCTGAAAGGTAGCTATCGTAGCTGATGTCTGTATGCATCTCTGGGGCCTTCCGTCGAGTCAATTCTTTGGACGGCTACTTATCCGCACAAGTAGCTGGGTGGTTAGACCCATGTCCCCCGGCTCAAGTATTCGAAAGCTTTTGTGGTCTTAGGAACCAGAGACTCCAGCCCGGCAACTAGCATCGATAGCAAGAAATGACCCAAGCGTTTGCCAGAAATGACCCCTCATAAGGCTTGCAAGTCACACTGGTATGAATTACACTATGACACTCAGACAGTTCGACAGTTCGCCTGATAGGCCTTCTTCCCTCGAATCTCTGAGCACTTTCTTGACCTGGAAAAGATGCTTTCAAGAACAGGTCCAATCAAGCAAGACTTGCCTTCTGCTGTTTTTGCGGTGAGCAAGGTCTTACCATGTGTTGAAACTTTGGCTGCTGTCTCCACTGCCGCCATGCTACAAGGTGGCCATGCCAAAATCAATCAACTGCAGTTGGAGGCCCCCTGAGCTGGCGGGCCGCCAATGTCAACGAATCTCCATCTTCCGTTTGATCCATCACAGCGCTCTCTTTCAGTCAAACATCATTGACCCGCGTGCACGGTGATGTCTCTCGGCTGAAAAGCAAATTCCTATTCCCTTGCTGAACATTTGGCGGTGAAGGCTGCTGCCAGGAGTCCTTCTGGATTTTTGGTCAGCAAGATGTTCTCCTGAGCAGGGCAAGTTCCAGGTTCCAAAGAGTGAAGAAAACCTCCTGACGTCAGGGACCTCACGTTCCCAATGGAGTCAGAACCAATGGAAAAAACCTCTGCCAAGGCTCTAGTGAAATATCGCGGTGTGCAATCCCGAGCTCATGCAGTTTATACACGGCGGAAAACCTCAAATCTCAGTCCTACTCTGAGATCATTCTTTCTCAATCCGCAAAATAGAGAAAAATGACACTGGACAGACCCGAAAGGAAGGCTCGGACAAAAGTCACGCAACAAAGTTGATACCAATTCTTCAAGCCAAGACACACCTGATCCATCATTGGCCGGATAATACCTAAAATCCCAGGAAAAAGAACATGTGAGCACGCCGCCTTGGGTTTAAAAGCGTGCTATGGTCGCTCTTGGCCAAGCTGCCCTCTCGTTCTGGACCAGGTTCCATCTGCAACCGCTCCACGAAACTGAAAAGGTCCCCGTCGGTGGCCAGCCTGGCTCGGTGGACTTTGGTTGAGACAACAAGAGGCTCAGTCGTCCGAGACCATTACTAATGTAGAGTCTTGAGAAAAATGCATCCCATATGAAGAGGATGTCCAAGTCAAACAGGGGGGTTACGAAATCAAGAGCCTACAATAGATAGTCCATCATGTTCACGAAAATGGGTTAGTATCAACCCGAGCCACGACGTCGCCACATAGGTGAACTCGTCGTCACGGAAGATGCCAAACAAGTCGCAGACATATGGAAACCTCATGTGTTGGTAGCCAGGCATGAAAAGGCATCTGTGCTATATAGCTTAATCCCCCCAGTTGCTCCTTTCTCGAAAACTATTTGATATGATATATGTCATATTATAGTTCATACTATTTCTAAGACCTACAATCAAGCATTGAAGTGAATAATATCACCCAGCTCCAAACTTACAAATCACTTGCAAGAGTCATGAGCGGTGCGGTGCCAGAATCATCCAGAATCTATCTTGCCTTACCAAGCTAGGGCCCCTGCCCAGCTGCATTGAGGTAACGTAGAAGCCCGATTTCAACCCAGGGCTTCTCCGATGATTGAGGATGACTCTCCTCGAACCTCACTAAGACGGCCGACCGCTGTCGAACCTCTCCAGTCGGAGAAGCTTAGCCGGACACTCAGACTGTCGCTCTTTGATCCACCTCGAAGCAGTCAACTTTGAACACCGCAACTCCACTCCGCTCAAGACACTGCAGCAACACAGCAGCCAAATAGGTAGTGACAATGCGACAACATCAGGACGACTGCGATTGCAAAGTCTTTAAGATATGCCGCGGAAGCACCTCATGTGGATCTGCAAAACCTTCTGCGATACTACACACAGATCTGCAAAACTACTCGCAGAGTCGAGTCCACTCGACATCTTCCGGATTGACCTTTGCATGTCTTCCCAATCTGGATCATATGCTTTCCCCACACAAACTTTGGCAGGGACCCTTCTTTTGAGGCATGCCACCCCGTTCCTGTGGGATTCACTGCAACTGCTCCAAATTCAAACTACGCTCCCACTACGCTCCCATTCGCACCTGTTCGGCATCCTTTTCACAGCCATGGCCCGGCTGTCTGCCAGGTGCTGCACCGAGTCGACACATGCCCGTGATTGATTCGCCTCCTGATCCGATCCGGAGACCGCACCGAACCCACGTGACGTACGTCGAACGGCACGAACCCGAAAGAGACGGGTCCAACGAGTCGGACGGTGGTTCTTCCTGCAGGGAACGCACCATCTTCCACCTTGGCGATGAAAGCAAACAGACGTCGACGAGGAAAACCCTCGCGCTCCGACATGTCCCACCAAGAGGCCCTCGTTTCAAATCGTTCATTTTTTCAACAGGAGAGCAGCAAATGTCCATGACATCTGACAGATCCAGGAAATTCGCATCACGACACACGACACGTCTGCCTGTTTGGGCCATCCTTGCGAGCAAAGTGGCTCATCTGGGTTCCAGCTTTGCACGGCTCCCGCTGCGGCGTCGATGACCTGGGCTCTTGGGCTCTTCTTGTTTCATACCAAGAGGTCTGTCCAAGCAAACCTGAAACTCAACCCTCAAAAGAAGCACAAAAACACGCATAAAAAGAGACGGATATTCATCGAAAAACTTGCATTTGAACAAAACTCTTGGAACTCCAAAACTGGAACATTTGAAGACTCAGCCAGTCTGCGAAGACGCAGCCAGCTGCTCTTGTTCTTTGTACACTCGTCTTGTGCGAGCACTTGTGGGGTCTCAATCCAAAACGATTTCTGGATCAAATGCAAGGGAACTTGGAAACCCTTGAATCAAACGCGTCAGAGAACGATCAGGAAACAAACCAGTCCTTAAAGCCAATTAAAAAGGCATGCAACGCTCAGCTGTTGTTCTTGTTCCATCCTAGCTTGACACGCTCATAGAAACGATTTCAGATCTTCACTGTTCACCCTTTTATTCGCGAATTGGGCGCCGATGCTGCCTGTTTGCCAAGTCGCATGCTCCAACATCTGCTCGGTCAAGTTTTTGCTCCTGGTCCTGGCCTGAGCCTTCCAGCTCTTCCGCGGCTTCGAAAATCCTCAGACGGTGGGAGCACCGGTGCTTCTGGTGACTCCGGGTGAAATCCGCTGGTCTGATGGTGAAATGGAGTTGTTGAGTGATATGCGTGATCTTATCAGTGTTCACGATTGTTCATGGCTGTTCATACTGAAGGGATGTGCTACATGTCTCCTTTCCTCGCGTCTTTTGAGATCCAGTGCCATGCGCCTTTTCTCCATCTGAGGCGTGCACCGAAGCAGCCGCATTGCCTCAGGTCCATGGTTTCAACCCTAGTCTAACAAGATCTTTCTGATGCACAACGTCCTCCAAGGATGAGCAAAACATGGGGGCGGGTGTTTACATAGAGGGTTGAGAAACCCATTTGACAAGTGGAAGTGGGAGGCCTGGGTGACGAGACTTAGCTTGTCTTCCAGTATGTCATCGCGTATGGCATCGCGCCGTGCTGCGCCAAATCGCACCAAGGCACAGGAACATCAATATATGGTGAGGCATGGGATGCTCGCAACAGCTTCAGCAACGGCCTCCCATGTACTTACTAAGACAGAAAAGGCTCTGAAAAGGCATGCGCTGTGTTGAAACTTGACGTGGTGCTAAGATTAGGCTGGCTAACCTGGAAAGGACTGTTCAATATGCCATCTGCAACCGTTCACCAACTAAAGTCCTTTGAGCCGCCAGGGGAGAAACAGGAAAAAACAGCAAAGTGAGAGCATTGGACTCATTGGACTACATCTTTTCCTCCACTGCTCCACCAAATGCTTTCTCTCCATTCACGCGAAAACTGGCAAAAAAAAAACACACTTTGAATGGTCGGCCCGAAACGCGACACACTCTCTCTCTCTCTCCCTCCGCCTCCGTCCGACCCGGGTCGGAGCCTTTCTTTCTCGGATGGCTACCACACTCGGTGCACGGGGATGCTCGCCATCGGCCCAAAAATAGGCATGAATTGGGGCTTCTTGCCGCCTCCCACCTATTCACAGGTGGCTTTCTGTGGTCCAGGAAGGTGTTTCACTGGACCATGGGGTACTTGCGTAGATTGCTCAATGTTTGCTCAACACGACCGAGTCAAGGCGCTTCACTTTGGATTGGCACCACCATATTTCCAAGCATAGAACGGCAAGATGAAGCAAGTACCCCGTCTCACTGGACATGTGATCTGCCCAATCAATAGCGGGGATCTCTAGAAACAGCGTGGATTGAAGGCCCTTCAACGTTTGCTTCACAGGCGATTAGACGTCCAGAGAGCCTAGCTAAGAGAAACATGGATGTGCTGCCTATTGTAGAAAAGCCGCCAAAGGCCTTGACAAGAGCGGGGAATGACAGAATCAGGCTGTACGTTCATGTCGAACTCTGTCCAAGACTTGATGCTACATTCCAACCAAAAGCAAAAACAAGTAAAATCTGCACGGCCACAAGTGGATTCTGCTGCAAAGGGAACCGCCCTCAAGTTCTCTGAGGGCATGACTGCAACTCTGCGGTGGCTTGTGCCAGCGGCAGGACAACCTTAGCTTGACCAGGAAAAGTTTTAAAGTCTACAGCACCCCAAGCTGATTGGACGAACCACCAGGGTGCCAAACTCCTAAGTCCTGCTGGTCCCCACTCTCAACCAAACCAACCAAAGGACACCGGCCGATCCTTTTTTCTGCGGCCACGCCACGGGGCCCAGCACCGGCTTCAGCGAAGCCTTGGCCGCGCAAAGCAAGTCCGGCACCTCGGGCGGCGCACAGCAAGTCCGATGCTTCGGCCGGACGCACCGAAGCGAAGAGATGGGGACGATGGACGTGCGTTGGCGCGTTTGGTGCGTTGGGGCGAGTGGTCGAGGTGTCTCGGACAGAGCACATGTGGCAGCGGGGGTGGGATTGGATGGTACACAAATGTTGAGCCGAACATGGGAAAAAGCCCCATCAGGAATGAATCGGGGAACCCTATCATTGATGTGAACGGAGCACGGCAAGCCACAGAAAAAGAGATCTTTTTCAATGTGCTGCAGCGCAGGAACATCTGGCGCCATTCCAGCAGCTGCACCAGGCAGATCAGTATTCTGGAGCTTGTTAAAGCTCACTTCATACCTCAGCTTGCGGCCGCTAGAACCCGAGGGCGAGTCCTCGCGTCCTCCACAAGCTGAGACGTGCTCTCCACCAGCTTTTGACCATTCACCGAACGAACCCAGTTCGAGGAGCAAAGCAACTGCTGAGCTTCCGGCTCCTGCCCCGCCCCGTTCTCGAGCTCTTCGTCGGAACCTCAGCCCAGCGAGTCAAGGGGAGGGCGGAAGGGACCACGACATCCGCCTTTCATCCTCCGGAAGCCTTTGGGCATCCGATCTGTGTTATGTCCGTTTTCGACACGGGGAAGAAGCCTGGAGGACACGGTTGGACACGCCCCCTCCATGAGTCACTCACTGCGGCCACTCGGTTCCTTTCTGGGAGACTGCACCCTCGTCGCCGTTCAGGTTCTGCTTCGACTTGCAGCAAGAAGCCAAACCAAGCCTCAGAAACTGGCTGAGAAAATGATGGTGTATGCTTTGAGAACCGTTGTCTCTGCAATAGGAGCATGAGTCAGAACTGGCAATCCATCAATCTATCAAATGGCAGGCCTTCCGGAAAGGTTGCTTGGATTTACTCCCACCCAGTAGAATGGAGAAGAGGCAGTCTGGCAATCTGCTGCCTTCATTCACTTTCCACTTTAGAATGTTTAAACTTACAAATCCCCCTCTCCACGGACTTGGAGTCGCACAAATGGACAAGACTAAGTGAGCAAGCACCAACTAGCTGCGTGTTCCTCAGATGCGAAGGCTTCTCCATTGCCATGGCCATGACTTTCAAAAAGAAGGGCACCAGTGATCCTGCTTGAAATCTCGCAGAGTCGACTGTCCTAAACTTGGAGTCACTAACATCGAATCAAAGCCGCCACCAACATCCAACATATTTTGAGATCCAAATGGCACCCTGCAAATGTTTGCTCGACTACTGGGGACGTGGCTGTCTCAATTCTTCAACTGAAAACAGCTTGGCCAGGGCCATCACGCAAACCTCTCACGCTTGGAGCTCGAGCGTCTCCGGCACCGAAGACGACGTGCCGGCACCGAAGGTGTGGGGTTTCTTCAACAGCGACTCCATGGGCTCCATGGGATCGCTAAACAGAAAGTCGGCCACGAAACACGGATTCCGGCAAAGGGAAGTGGCTCCTAAGCATAAATCAAGACATGAAGGCGGAGTAGATGTATATATCTGTAAAAATTCAGAACCAGCAAAAAAAAGAAGGCCTTCCGCTCGTCCGTTCGCAAAGGCATCTTCAGCACAGGTGGCCACACGTTGAGAAGCAAGTTACTCAACAGGCCAGCCTGGAAGGACTCTCCAAAAGCAAAGAGTTTTATGTAAAAAGGAGAGAAAATATGAGACAAAGAGATCCATCGATGCCCAAATGTTCTGTGCCCTTAAGCTCTTGGTGCTTCCCCCCACAAGCATTTCGAGAACACCCATCTACGTCCATCAACTCTCAAGTCTTGCTCTCACCCAGCCTGTATAGAGTCGAACAGTGCTATCACTGACTGATTCTTATGTATGCAAAGCCTCAGTTCAAGCACAGTTTCAAGAAAACAGAGTCTCGAGGAAGGGCTTCTTGCAGTCAATCTCAAGAAGAGCAGCTCATCTAATGAATTCAGGTAGGATGGTAGGATCATCAATGAATCATCCCCAAATCATCACTTTTATGAGAGTCGCGACTTGCGTCATCTGTCTCATTCAAAGGCAATGCTCAAAGCCTCCAACGAGCACGAGACCACAAAGTCCCGCTTGAACTTCGGTGACTTGCTGCTTTGCAGTCTAGTCAACCTGGGCGACAACACCGGTCGTTTGATGATATCAACTTGGATGGTGACACAAAATTACAAACATGCTGAATCTGAAAAAGAAAAATATGCAAAGACCCATCGAATGCAAGGTTTTCAGGTTGCTTAGAATAGACCTACTGTAGGTCTTGCGCGTCTCATGGATGACGAAGCTCCAGGTTGGGCTCAAGGTGTGCCCCCGACAACCAAGGTCAGCACAAAACTGTCATGAGTGTCTTGAGAAACTGCTGATAAAATTCGATGGGCAAATACTGGTACATGGCGTTCAGCCTCAGAGCAAGCATCAGCCAACATCGTTTCGCCCGTTGCAGAGCACTCAATGCGTGTCGTTTTCGCCAACAGTTCTGCATTCACTCGGACTTGAGCAAATCCAGTGCCGCTTCCTGTCGCGATATTGAGCGGCCAAGCCCCAAAGCAAAGAGAACTGGACCGTCTACATCCAGGTCGCACTGCTACCAATGCAACTCTCTGTCCTTAGAACCCTCAAACCACTGTACAAAATGGTGTAAAAAGTTGTGTATTCACATCAATTTCACATAAATTTGCCATCCCATGCAGGATGTCTTCCTTCAACACAACGGACTTCCCACTGCCTCGGTCTTCCGATTCATCAGCACGAATTGGAATCGCTCGAGAATCGCCTGCAGTGACGGCTTGAACCCCTTGGAGAAGAAGTGCCGAGAGCTTGGAGAGCTTTCCGCGCGGCTTAGATTGTCATTTCACTAGTGCAACCTAAGAGCAATTGGCCTCCAACCTATATAATAGCGATGGCCTCCAACCTACGTCCGCTTCCTCACCTGTGCGATGGCCTCCAACCTAATAGAGACTACCATTTCTGGTGGTAGACATCATTCCTCTCTCTTTGAACACGAAAACTCATCCCATCGTTCGTCGACCCCAGCATATTCCCCTCGATATCTGCCTGCATGTTCGACCTCAGCAGCTCTCCAAACCCTGCATGCTTGGTGAAGTAAGCACCTTAGGGTCGGAAAAGATGACCGAGCACGTCAAACAACACACCACAAAAATCAAACAACGGTTGAGCGAATTGCTTTTTGATCCGGGAATATCCCTTGACTCTGGACTTGGAGCAAAAGGACACTCCAAAGTGGCCCAGTGGACTTGTCTTGGACACTTCTGAGCTTGAGACGCAGAAGTCGAATCAGTCCTGGCACATTTGCCTCAAGTCGTCCACGGCGTAAAGAGCTGAGTTGAAACCATTCAATTTGTTTTCTTACCTAGGAACAAGGGCATCGCTACTAGTAACAAGGGCATTACTACTAGGAGCAAATAGCGACTAGTAACAAGAAGCTACTAGGGGCTCCTGGCATCGCTACTAGGAGCAAGGACGCTACGAACGGGGCTCCTGGCCGTACTACTAGGAGCAAGGACGCCACTAGTAACAAGAAGTTCAAACAACTAGACCTCCCCACGGGCGAACCACCACGGGCTTCGGCGTTTTGGACGCACCGAGCCTGAGCTCGCCAAAGCTCAGGGGTCAACAGCCTGGCGTCAACACAAAACGGCCGGTTGGGGGCTCTACAAACCTGCATCCACCGGCATTGAGCCACAAGGAAGAATTGAACAGCGATCCAGGATTCTCTACCAAGGCAACTGAAATTCATTCTGGGCATCTCGCTTTGACCCCACATTCAGTGACTAACTATGTATAGATATGATGTATAGATATGCCTGTCATCACGATCTATCTCCATCAGCTGAGCACATTGAAGTTCACTGCTTCTTTGATAGCAGCATCCCATGCTGCTGAACCCCTTCAGAGATGTCAGACATCTCCCATTCCCAGCACCTGGCAAAAAGCTCTGTGTACAGCGGCTTCACATTCGGAGAAGCCTTAGGATCCGCATTCCATTTGTGGCAAATCTGGTGAAGTACAAACTCCTCAAAGCCTGAGACTTGGACATCAAGCAGGAGACCCATTATCTGAAACGTGTACCTGGTATCATACCAGATGCAAGATTTACTGATTGAAACATCAGATCCATTCGGATTTCCGGTCTTCGTTTGTCACAACTTCTTCGTGGGCACGGCAAAAAGTCCACCACATTTCTCTCCTTAGACAGCACAGAGTTCACCAGCCAGCCAGGCCGCCAAGCTCGGTAGTTTGGCAAGCTCACGCTGTGGAGGAAAAGACATGTCGGACTTTCCACGAAAACTGACTTTGGCCGGAAATCCCTGCAAAACTCCAAGACCAAACAAGATTAAGGTTGTTCGGCCATGCAAGCTCACATTGAAACCACATGCGCCTTGACTCGAAATAGCACGTCGCACGTAGAGGTGCGGCATAGCAGAACTTTGCATGGCGAGAACCGAGGCCCTCGCTAAGATCTGCCCAAAGACAGGCAGCAGGGCGCTCTCAACCTCTGCCATCCAAATGATATGTGGAAAATTTTATGCCACAAGGTTCGAGAATGACACTGCACGTGTCTTCTTAAAGGAATCAGCTCGACAGTTGATCTGGGGAGAAAGTAAAAGACCTAAGGAGGCACAGCTCATTGTGGATCAAAACTCATTGACCTTGAGAAAGACTCCCCAGGCAAATTTAGCTCATTGGCACGCCCAGCCGTTGATCTGTGTTTGCCTTGAAAAAGGGACCAAGTCTTCAGATAGAATCATATCTGTGCTTCACCTGCAGTCCAAATCCAAAACGGTTGCAAAGCAAAAGCCTGTCGAAAACGGGCTCCCGGACCGTGTCGGGTTGCGTGGGCACGCAAACCTTGACGATCGAAGCCACTGCCTCGTGGCTTCGGGAGTTCGGGTGACCGAATCGGGTCTCTGCCAAAATGTCCAAGATCCAGTCTGAAATCATTGTTGCTATATTATTGTATGCCCAATATGAGTAAATGATTCACAAACTGGGTATCAATGTCATGTTGATTGCATCTTCCACCAGCTACTACTATATATTGGGTCTATCCCATTACCAGTAACAGTGGATCCTTGTTCAAAAATAGTGATAATTGTTTACGGGTCCTGTGACAGGTGAAGTTCAGACAGACCCAAACTATATAGCAAGATCTAGTAACTGAGTAACTCGTCAGAAATAGACCCCCACCGCACCTCGAAGAGGTTGTGGTTGAAAACTGGATTTGAAGGGTTTGCTGCCATAGCAATGAGGATGGCAGAGAGAGGCCCCAGCCTCAGTGGCAGAATTGGCAGAAGGGGCTGAGGCATCTCTTCCTGCAGGTGTTGAACTCGATGCACATGAGCAGCGGACAAAATTACTTGTGTAGCCAAATACCATTTGACATGATTATCGTTTTTGGTGGGGTCCATATCGTTCTCCAATGTTTCTCCAAACCGCAGTTAGCATAGCATACCGGCACATAGACTAAAACACAACATATAACTCACAACCTGAGATTAGAGTCTTAGAGGCTTGCAGTGCTTTCTGCACAGGAATGGCACAGCACTTGATTTATGCACTTGGGTTCTTGTGGCACTGGGCTGTGCAAGGATCACAACACATAAGCGGGAACCTAGTAGCTCGGCCCATGAACAAACACTAGTCACTGGTAATGTGGAGAAGTTGGTCTACGGAGTGACTGGCGTGACATTTAGGTTATCGTTTGCTTATCGTTTGGATTATCGTTTGGGAAGCTGTCTGGGGTTATCATTGGTGAAAAGTTGTGCCCATCGGTTTAGCTCAAATATGCTCAAATAAACATGCACATGAATAACATATTGTAACCACAAACGTCTTTGTACCCACTACAGTACGTCTTAGCAAGATTATCGTTTTTGGTGGGGACCATATCGTTTTCCACAGAAACGAAGCCCTCAACATAGGTTTAGGGTCATGCCGTGACTAAATAAGTCAACCAATAATTTTGTCCGTCGCTCACATGACGTATTCAGTTTTCAAGCTAAGGTGGCGGCATTGCGAGACCCGTCTCTGCTCCCTGGAAGTACAGTGTTGGTTCAGGTTCACACAGCACCGTTGAATGCGCGGCCAGCAAACTGCAAAAGACACTCGGCGCTCCTGTTGCTTCAGGAAGGCAAATATTCTTGCCACAGTCCTGCCAAGGGCCAAGTTTGTCAACAAATGAGTGATTCATGCTCGATTGCAAATTGCAGTTGGACATTGAATTGCACGAACCGTAACATGCTGCGGCCTCATGAGATACTCGTTCATGGGTATCCCCTGCAGTAAAATGTGGCGTGAAAACCCAACCATTGCAATCTGCGGCTACCAAGCTTGCGTGCTCAAACTAGCACGCCACTTGATGACTTTCAGCTAGGTGTGTTGAAACCTTCCTTTGCAAACAGTCCAAGTACAGAATCAACTGCCTTGTTCCAAACCCCTCTTCACACAAAATCCACTGCCTTGCTCGCAGCAATGATTTGCAGAATGGGCTGCACCATCTGAAGTAAAGGCCCCTTCATGGACCTAGGAGCCACATCAAAACTGAAAGTTCCACACCTTTCCCATCTTTCCCGCAGAAGAGTTTCCGCGCATGTGGAGCAGAGGGCAATGTTTAAGATGTGATGTGAAGAATTCAAGTTCTGTCTTTCTTTCTTTCTGTCTGTCTTTCTTTTTTTCTGTCTTTCTTTCTTTCTTTCGCTCTTTCTTTCTTTCTGTTCTGTTCTGTTCTGTTTTCTGTTCCAGCTCCTGTTCCTGTTCCTGTTCTGTTCCTTTCCTTTCCTTTCTGTCCGTTCTTTCCTTTCTTTCCTTTCTTTCTTGCTTTCCTTTATTGCTTTCTTTCTTTCTTTTCTTTTCTTTCCTTTTATTTTCTGTTCTGTTCGGTTCTTTTATTTTTTTTTCTGTTCTTTTCTTGTCTGTTCTGTTCTTTTCCGTTCTTTCTTTCTTTCTTTATTTCTGTCTCTCTCTCTCTCTCTCTCCCTCCCTCTCCCTCCCTCTCTCTCTCTCTCTCTTTCTCCAAAGGATAACCTCACTCCCGTGTCCTGTAGATATTGACCATTGAAATCCTCACTCCACCACAAGATCAGCCCCCAACATGGGATCGTAGCGAGGTGCCACCTGTCCCTGGTCGGATGGGCGGACAGAACAAAGTCCAAAAATCTGTTGTATCTTTGCTACAGTGGAAAAGGTCTTGGTCACGTCCTTTACAAGACTGGGTTGCTTGGGTTGAAACGATCGATGAACTATACAGCTGTCTTGCAACCTGATTGAGGGGCTCAAGGCTATTGGCTATTGTGCATGAAGTCGGGGAAAGCGAGGTCCCTTGGATTCAAGAACTGCATTCACCAAGTCTTTATCCAAGGATGTGGGCATTGTGGGCATTTACATTCCTGTCGTGTGAGCCAACGATGGGGGGGAGCACAAGTCGCACAAGTCCCTGTCGTTGACCCCCCTTTAGGAGTATGAAAGTGTTCAAAACTACAGTAATTGGAGTCGTTTAACGATCTCGGGAGTCTTATCAGAGTCTTATCAGCGAAAAAGCATTTTTCTCAATCAATCTCGGGAGCGGCCACGCCACTTTTCTCAAGCGCTCCAACTGGCTGAACCGCAGGAAACCAATTCAGCAGCTCTGCTGACAAATCGAGGCGTAAGCTGCAGAAGTCAGAACCACTGCTGCGACCCTTGCTTTTAGCTCATCCAAAGGCTGCCAATCAAGGCAAACCTCGAGGGAGAAGCAAGAATATCTCAATAGTGATGATAACCCGGAACAGTGCGCAAACAAACGAAGCAAAACACATCCAGAATTACCCTATGTTGGCCTCGTCGTTCATCAAGATCCGCACAATCCGTGGCTTTTCATCGATCTCAGCTGTCTCTATCCTGGGCTAAGCCATGTTGCTGGCTAATTGTCCACACAACTTTCGATCTAGAATCTAGTGCGTTTTACAGCACATTCTACTACTAGCAGGCAAATCCTGTCGAGTTGCAAAACCATAGACGCATACAACGGCCATTGGTTCTTGTAGACACCCAAAGCAACCAAAAACGCTGTCATCATGTTGTCATGCGCTGCCAAGAGTGTGATGCGGTGACCAGGCTCTGACAAGAAGTCCATCACTTCCTCTTGGGGCTGTGTACAAGATAAAATAAAGCTTTGCCAGGTAAGCAGTCGTGGGGGCATCTCCCATCGGCCCACTGCGTTGCTTGTCTGTTCACACGGTCACTGTTTGGGGCTGGTGAGGGCTCTCCCGGAATTCCCCGTTCGCACCCCTCACCCGAAACTTGCGTCTGAACCCTCAGTTTTCAAGGCTTGCTCATGATCTCGATTGAAGAGACAGAAGCAAATGAGGGAAGGCCAGTTCATCTGGTAGAAACAGTCTGCAACTACTGGTTGGTTGGTAGAGAAATGTGCAAAGGATTCTTGTGGCCCATGTGCTAAACGAGTGAAGCATGGTCGTTGTTCCAAGAACTCGTGGCCTGGACAAGCCGTCCAGCTGCCAAGCGCAGCAGCTCTTCATTGGAATAGACTGCAGCCTGGAAGCGCATGCAGCATTGAGGTTGCCCTAAACAATCATCTCCAGGATTCTGTCTGGTTTTCCCGGAAAGATGATGCTGGTAAACCCGTGACCATCCTCCAATATCCTTTCACATCCTTTCACCAATCAGTGTTTGTTTATTTCTCGACAATGCCTCCAATGTTGCTTTGTAGTTCTCGACTGCTTTGGTCATCTCCCACTCAACACCAGGGATCGCTCCGATTTCATCTCGGTGAACGCAAAAAGGCGTGAAGTCCTGGATTTCTCTCCTCAGCAACATGGGTCAAAATGGAGATTCAGGGCCCACCCATCAGGTGGAATTTTTGGATCCGTGAACTGAGTCGATTCATCCACCACTCCCAGGTCCCAAGTGCTTCTGGGGGGAGACCCAGGTGACGCTAGAAAACATTAATCAGACGATCGATTTTGAAGCCCATTGCTGCAGTGATTCATGGGTTCTTTGCCCATGAAGGGAATCAGCATCATCTCCACCTTCTCTCGCAGCTGTTTCAGCTCACCTGCATTGGCAGCTTCAATAAGGGATGCTCTCAGCTTGGCATAGCGCCAGCAGGTGCCATCGTAGTTTGGGAGCAACGTCTGACTTCTCGGTGCAGGGACTTGCACAGGAGCCTCTGATCCAAAGCCTCGCAAGACACAGGATGCTGTTTGGATCGTTCGGCGAAAGTCCTTGCGCTGCTCGTTTGTACTGGTTGGTTTTGGAAAGGCCTAAACATCCACCCTCCTACCAACCTTAAACATCCGCCCCCCCAAGTGTGACTGAGGCAGACACAAGTAGTTGCCTGAATCCCAAAATCGACTCTCCCATGAACAAAATTCAGCTTCCATCGACAGGAAGGCTTTTCAACCACAAAAAAGAATTGCTGCTCTGTGCCCTATCGAGTGGCAGTACTAAAGGCACGGATGCTGGCCATAGGGTAGCGGCGCCTCAACTCCGCCCCAGCACTACGACATTGTCTATATCCCAACGAGGTGAGCTGTCCCAAAGGACCTGCACATGGGCTGATGTCTTCAGACAAGTCATGAGACAAGACATGCACTGATGCTTCAATTTTCGTGAAGCACTGCCACGAAGTCATGCCCACACATGCCGGCGCCGAATAAACATGCCGTGCCTTCACCGTTGAAGGATGAATAGTTATTGTGGCCTTCGCCCTCGTTTCGCTCCACACGCACCGAATCCATCTCAGCTTGCTCTCGCTCCGTGGGCAGAAGAGATCTCCACACAGAGGCCAGGTGGGATACATCCAAGTCTCCTCAGCTAAAAGAGGGTTAAGAAGACTAGACTAGATCCACTTCTGAAAGGCAAGTATGTGTTTGACAAGAATCTGAACATGATTGATTTGAACCAACGTCTTTTTGTCTATAACTGATTCATCAAGTGTCCAAACTGCTCTCGTACCGGAGTTCTGTCCCCATGCCGCATGAGAATGACAACCTGCCCACAACTCTCTCAAATCTACCCTAAACACTGCACCTGCTTCGGCCTAGCCCTACATCTACGACACAAATCTGTCATCCGCCCGTGCCTGCTTTGGGTGTTTACTTGGCACTGGCGGATTCAGCGTCGGATCAAAAGCCCAAACAGGGCCTTTCCTTGGGATCAGAAAGCACCTACCTCATGCACTTCGTTGCGGATCAAAGCCCACACCAAAATGAACTGAATAGTCTATTTCAAATGTTCATATACAGTGGTTATGATTAATGACAGGTTTTGGTGAAACAACTGCAGCCTGAAGACACTTCGCACGGGCGTTGTGTGTCAGCATCATATTCCGACCTCTGGCATTTGGCACATCGGTGCCCTCGGCCCTGATGCAACCTCATGGTTTTGCAATTGGTCAACAAACACGTTCGTAGCTTCTTGTTACGACTGGTAGCGATGCCAGGAGCTACTAGTAACTAATAGCGTCCGATTTCCCTCCGTTCGTAGTGATGCCTGCCCTTTGTTACTAGTAGCTTCTTGCTAAAGCCAGTGAAGGTCCAAGTCAAGTTTCTTTCAAACATCCAAGTCTCGGGCACATCTTGGCAGTTGACGGTTCCACACTCACACTCAAAAGTGTGTGAAGCATGTGGTGAAAACGATCTCTTCTTTGATCCAATCATCCCGTTGGAATCCAAACTAGGCAAACCATCTTGAGCTTGAGCCAGAAGTCCATTAGTCAGCCACTGCTTGGTAAAACCAAATGAAGCACCTCCAACCAGTGGAAGCACCTCCACTGGGTTCACTTCCCCCAGTCGACACACCTGTACAGGGTGTTGTGGACTCGTCGGCCTGTGGGGTCTTGTCCTTCACTCTGAGCAGCTTCTCGATGCAAATGGCAGCATAGGTGTGCACCTGCCATTTGCATTATCCCTCTTTTCACCGGTTGCCAAATGGATTCGCAGGAGAAGCATTAAGCATTTTGCCAAGTTGTACAAAATCGGTTGCATCTGTGGTATTGTCAAACTAGGAGCGATGCCACTGCACTTTCTGCAGTGATGTGTTTGCCTGGCCACAAGTCTTCAACCCCAACTGGCCCACTCTGGGAGCCAAGCATTTTCTACAGTCCTGCAGAACCTTCAATACAGAAGTATTTACACAATAAGTGCCACACAGATTGCAGGAAGAAGCTGGCCTTCAGAGTTCGATTAAAATATGTCTGAGGCCACCAGCTTCAAAGTGTTTGAAGGATTCATCGAGCTTGGGCCACCAGCTGATTTGTTCTCTAGGAAGCTGGTTCCTGAACACGGTCACGAACCTTAGGATGTCACGAGAAAAATGGCACTTTCACTTGGCCGGCCGACCAAGTTGTGGGGTGTGCGACCAAGACTTGTTGATCGTCCCTCTTTTCGCTGCATATCAATCATAGCAAGTCCGGGTCGCAGATGTGTCATCTATGAATTGTCCCACTTGCTTTGGCTTTGGGTGCTTTTGTCGCATCCAAAGCCAAAGTGCTGAGTGGATCCCCCTTTCCCCATCATCGGATCGATGTCCAATCCGAGGCACTTCAGACATGAGGCTCGAAGCACCGGACGTTGTGCCTGGCGTGACAACGAAAAGCACGGAACATGTGTGCGTTTTTTGCGCAAGATACGCACGTTCACATCCCAATTGGAGAGTCTCCAAATCGGTTCTGCCCGACGAAAGCATGGTATTGTGGTAGGCCACGTTTAAAAGAAAGGAAAAACGTATGCTGATGCTGCGGTATTTGGAGATGGAGCAAGCAAGCAAGAATTGGCTCCTCGCCAAGACAAGAGTTGGCAAAGGAAGACATCACTTCGAGACATCCCTGAAGGAACCACAGGTATCTGTTCTTTTCATAATTCTAGCAAGCAGGCGAGCCCACCAGAGGTTCAGAAGTGAGCTCTGGAACCACCAGCGAACTAAAGAAATCCAGCCTCAGTTGGTTAAAAGACCAAACACCTCAATTATCATTCGTAAAATGCTTTGCCTCCAGAATGCCGCTGCCAGGCACAAGAGATCGACGCATTCTTTTCCGTCAACAGGGATCTTGTTTCGGATATATCTTCAGCCAAGAGACACGTTGACATTCTGGTTTGTGGCAGTGACTCCTTCCGAAGCATCAGTGTCATAAGAAATGGGTTCATCTGTTTCACAAAACCAGAAGCTAGTTGAATAAAGCTAAATGAAGCTGTGGCGTACCCTCTCGGTGGGTCTGCTCCCGCACTGCCATGGCAATGCAGAGAAAAATGCAGGCATCCTGGCACAGTACGCTGTGAAAGGGAGGCAAACATGTCTCTGCACAACTGACAAAACAAGTAATGAGTAAATAGAGTCAAGGGAGTACATGTGCTTTAACCGTCCGGTAGAATCTCTCAGTCTCTGGGTAGCTTTTGGGCTCAGAGTCCATCGCAAATATCGAAGCTAGGCTCTCTTCCACTACAAAAACAAGTGAGTCCCACAAGACTATGGAAAACTCCTGTGTTCCTGACAGCCTAGAGGATTGCTAATTCATCCGTAGGTAATGAAGTGGAACTCATCCCCTGCGCTTCGTTTTGGAGAAACTCATCCGTCTACGCTTGCTCCCTTGTGGACATCGCTTTTGCACCCGCGACCAGCGGCCCGCGACTCGTGCGGACCATTTGTGGCGACTCGTGGGCGGTCCTTGTAGCGCTCTGCCTGTCCAGCAGCAGCTTGTGATGCCTTCTCCATCAAGGCCTTCACGTATCCGATGAGGATCTCTGTGACCTTTACAAGGCGACGTGACTGTCTACCACTCAGCACTCCGACCACCGCAACAGTGTGGTGGCTTCTCACGAGTCAGACATACGATGCACCATGTAAATTAGTTAAAGAACTCGATAAGCCCAAGCAAACAAATCAGCATTGCCTTGGCTTCATTCACCTTTCCCATGGCCTGCCGCAAACGTCTCTACTGTGTTACTTTTTCCATGGCATCGCTTGGAACGATCAAGAATGTCTGAGGGAAGACCCCCTGGTGATCTCAGAAACGTGTGGTACTTCTTCCGTGGGTGACCGAGCCGTTGATCGTTCGGTGCAGGCGTTGAGTCACACAGTCTTTCAGTGTCTTTCAGTGTCTTTCAGTTGCGCCGCAACCACCTTGACCAAGTCCATTGAGCTTCGCCGACGCGTCTCCTGAGACAACAGACCCACTCACAGCGGTCAGCTGCACTGCATCACTCCAGCGGTCAGCTCCTGGTCAGCTGCTTCCATGTCGCGCCGCACGTACCTTGCATCAATCGCCAGACATGTCTCAACGATTTCGTCTTTGAAGCAAAGCCTTTTCAGAGAACCTTGATTGTTCAAACCCAAAATGACCCCTTTGTCCGTCCCTCTCATGAGCCACTCGCACTCACCTGACCAGCTCTTCAGCGCACTCGAGCGGATTTTCCTCAAACAGCTCCACATCCGAGTCCCGCAGCAGGACATTGGGGAAAACCACCTGCAGCGCTGGAGCAAAGCAGAGCACTGGAGCAGCGTGATGGACCGGAGAAGCACGTTGCGCTCTCTCCATCCGAAAGCGCCTGGGTTTGGAGCTACATCTAACTCACTGGCATCCTAACACCCAACTCACATACCCTGGCACCACATATTCAGCAGTACAACTTCGATGACGCCTTCTCGCAAATGCCCGACAAGACGTTGGGATCCTGTGCGGGGGAATATGGTGCAGGAAAGATTTCTCTGAACAAGCGGCCCAAGCGAACGGAAATGTCTATCAGCTTGTGAGTTTACCGTGGATTTCAGAACTTAGATCTGATGATCTGACTCATGTAAGTTGAAATGTCAACCTGCTTTTAGATCTGGCATGATCTAGGACCTCGAAGGGTGACTGTGGCCACTGAGTGGCGGCAGTGGACCTCATGAGTGGCGGTGGTTGGCTCAGAGCGTGTGGAGATTGCAATGGGAACCTGTTCTGCCTCTACACTGAAGTCTCTGCAGAAGCTCTCTGGGTCTTCCTGCGATAAGAAGTGAATGCCTTTGGCAACCAGCTGATCATTTTTCTCCTGGAAATCATCACAAGTGGCTGCGTACATCTCTCAGAGCTGCACTGTATACTACAAGCACATACCCCAGGTGAGATTGGAAACCATGAACGTGTGGATCAACATGTTGAGTTGACCAACATCGGATCCCAATCCGATCTCTCGTGATTTCTCCTGCTGATCCAGGCCAACGAGCAGCGTCCAAACCTCGACCGTTGGAAACCGACAAGTCGGCGCCGACCGTTGGTCAATCTGTGGAAAACTCGCTGCAACCGACCTCCTTCACACAGGGAAGTAGGAAAGGCATGAACCTGGCTGTGCGGTCAGGTAGGAAATTCCGTCTGATTTGGAGGACCGTAGTTTAAGGCTGTAAGGTGCAGACTCTTCCTGATACTTCTCCTTATAGAGCTGGGAATTGGTGAATGAATGTTGCCATGTCGCTTCTCAAGCTTTGTCTCAGAACGAAAACTCTTGCACTGTCCGCATTTCTAAATACACACGATCAATGAAAGAACATCGAAGCAGCTTGCAGCTTTTAGGCCATGCATCTGCGTACAGCACAAAGCACTCGCAAATGGCACCTTTGACCTCAGTCAAACGGCTCGCTCAGCCCATAGAAGTCATGAAGTCATGGCAGCCATGGGCGAAACCATGCGCACCTGTTCGAGCAGCCCCTGCTGACCTTGCCCAGCTACAGCCTGTACCGAGTAGCACTACAAGAGTGCTCGAGTGACACCGAAGAGTTGTTTGAGTTTTTGGATGGATGGGAGCTGTGAGTCCCTCTCCGAGCTATAGTGCACTTAATGGCAACACTCAACACTCGAAAAACAAAAAAATCTTGGGACCCATGCAAAAGGAAACCAAAATCGCTGACTCTACGCAATCAGCGGCTCCTCGTGCTGGAACTTTAGCAACTCTAGAAAACCTCTGAAGTATTCCTGCAAGGCTCAGATGGCTTTACCCGAATGCAGACCGGCTACATCCGGCTCAAGCAAGTTGCTCTCCTTTGATCACTCAAACCACTCAAACCATTCACCTCACAACAACCTGTCCTCTCTGTGATCCTCAAAAAACTCTGGTAAGTCGATCACATTCAGAGAAAAGAACGCTCCTGGTGCAGGCTCGAGCACGCATCAAGATCAATGATTTCAAGCTTCGAGTCTCCCGAATGAACAACTAGAGCTTCAAGAATGAGAATGTGTACAGTCTACGGTATACCATCAGCAGCGCAGTCAAATCGAAGTCCTATGGTTGCCAAGAGGAGCTCAAAATGAGTCACTAACCTTACGTCGAAGGCTTTGGCTTCGGCCCAAACCGCGTGGAGCCCTGTGCGCCCGGCTGATCCGCCGGCAGCCCGCCCAAGACCCGCGTGCACGTGGCCTGGGGAGTGAGTCATGAAGACATCAGACCTTCGACATGGCCTGCTCGGCACCAGACAGTAAAGACCGCTAGGTGGGTCTCTTGAAACCCAGTCACGGTGTACCTTGACACAGATCTTCCAAGCGCCAAAGCGCCAGGGCGCAACGCGGGTCGGGCGGTTCGGCCAGGCGGTTCGGCTGAAGGGCGCACTTCACCTCTCGGAGCAGATCTTCCGATCGCGCCTGGGCTCGGAACCTGAGACGGGAATACGGAGTGGCGTGAAAAGAACAGTCTCTAAGGCATTATTTAAAGAACGGCAAAGAATCAAAGATGTCTCTGTTCCAAAGATTGTTCTGGATGTGCAAGACAAGAGTGTCGCGGAGAGACACCGGTCTTACTCAGGACCGAGCTTCAGAAAGACTGTATGTGCAGTCTGCATGGTTCCCTTCAAGATGGACATGTCCTTGTCAGTCAGAGGCAGCATGATTACAACGCAATGAGTTGGATATTTGACTGTCTTCCACATGGCAAACATGAAAGCACAAACCATCTCTGAAAGCTTTGGCTTTTGGCCTGGGAGGTTTTGAGGTGCTGAACCATCTCTGGCAGCAGTGACTGCCACTCCTTACAACACCGAAGACTGCAAGCAAAATTCATTGGCAAACTTTGCGGGGCTCGAGCAGCTGGGTAGTCGGTGATCGAAATCTCCTCTAGTCCAGCTGAGAGCTGTACCTAGGAGGGCTTGGAGAAAGACATGGTCAAGCCAGGGCTTCGCAGCTGAGCATAGTACCTGCACCTGTTTTGGCGCCTGCAGCATTAAAGAAAGGATGTGCTGCTTGATGGCCTCGACAAGCACAAGCTTCTGCTGCAGCGCTGCTCAAGCAGATTGGAAAACAAACCTGCCACATTATATAGCTAGCGCGAACGACTGCAAGCCGGCACACAAAGGAGCCTGTCGATCAGAGGATGAGATACCGCCACCAGCACCTTCCACACACCTGTTCGAACTGGACAGGCAATGTGCGGCAATGTTGGCAAACAAACTGTGTTTGCCTTGTATAACCACTGTTCCAAAGGTTGCAGAAAATTGGATCGCTCAGTTCAAGACCACTGGCGCTTAATGTAGTTTTTGAAGTAGATTGCTCCAGCTTGCCTCGAAATGACATGGAATGGACATAAATGTTTTGCGAAATTCCATGTTCTCCAGACGCTCTCTTTCGAAACATGGCCTTGCAGAAGTGTCTACACTGCCCGAGCGCAAGAGTTCGAGCAAAACAAGGCCAAACCTTGGCAAGAACAATAAAATAATATTTGCTGACTTATCCGACAAATGCGTGCCCCACTATATACCAGCATGCAGCACGATGAAAAAGAGAAACTGAGAGACTTGTGAATCTTACTGATCAATGGCTTGGCCAAGCCGCCCTGGCTGCACTTCTGCAGCTCTAAGCTGTTGTTCAGCCGACCTCATGGCCTCAGACAGAGTAATTAGTTCTGAAAACATACGCTTGTCGCCCCTCCCCGATTCCCTTGGATCCGATGAACGTCATCTGGACCAGGTTTGGGGGATCTCACAAGTGCTCCCACCACCACAGGGCTACAAGGATTGGTTCCAACGCTCGACCTCGCAAAGTCTCAAAGCTCCTTTGGTTTGACCTTTCATTTGCTAGAGAATGTTTCTTTGTGCACAAACATCATCCCGTGCAGATATCAAAAATTGCCCAAAAACTCGAGTTTCAGTCAGAAAGAGACACCGTTTCAACCACGATCAACACATTGTGTCTATTTTTTCGGCCTCCATGTTGCCAGCCACTGTTTGTGTCAGCAACTGCGCAAGCTGCGCCATCTGGGCAGCGTTCGCCATGATTGGATGAAATATTTTGAGAAACTAAACTAAACCACTGGAATATCGATTGTTCTTGGTGGGAACAATTTTGATTGAAACCAAAAACATCAAAACCGGATCCTGCAAAACAACCACGCTATGTGAACTCTACAATTTGGGCCGAAATGTGCAAAGCTGTCTATGCAAAGATCGGACATGCTCAAGACAGGTTCCCTGTCCACATCAATCTTCTCCTTGGTCCCTCTAGCATTTTTTGTGTTTGTTTTACTATTTGTCTTCTGATTTTTGTCATGTTTTCTTCTTATTATGTTTATTTTGCTTCTTCTTCTTCTTCTTCCTCTTCTTCTTCTTCTTCTTCTTCTTCTTCTTCGTCTTCGTCTTCCTCTTCTTCTTCTTCTTCTTCTTCCTCTTCCTCTTCCTCTGCTTCCTCTTCCTCTTCCTCTTCGTCTTCGTCTTCCTCTTCCTCTTCCTCTTCGTCTTCGTCTTCGTCTTCGTCTGCGTCTTCGTCTTCTTATTTTTTTAATTATTACGATTTTTGGATAATATGTTTTCATGTTTTATTGTTTTTGTTATTTGTATTTTTTTTCTTCTTCTTCTTCTTCTTGACCACTTTGTCCACGTCGAGTGAAGATGTCACACCTCTCTCTTTGTCCAAACTGTGTCAAGACTAGTCTCTTCTTGGATACTTTCATCTTGCTCACCATGACCATGTTCATGTTCTTGTCTTTCCTGTTCTCGAGCTGTCTCTGCGAAGTTTCATCCACTGCCGCCAGCTTGTTGAAAAGGTAGCGGGAAATGTCCGCCAAGCCATGAATCTGTCAGAATCAACATCTCTCCACTCCTTAAAGTGCCATAATGCATGTACCCTTCTCCAAATTTCAGCCGCCAACATGGTGTGGTGGTCTGCAACCTTGCTGCTGTGCATTTCCAGATGTCATTTTTGTTCTCCTTCTGTCATGTCGATGTCGAAAAAGGCTGTGTGTGGTTGTCTGAACCCAGTACGTGTAGCTCCAAGTCCATCAAAGAGACAGCTCGACCAACAAAAAACATGCAAAGCAACCAAGCCACCAAGCAACAACGCAGAAACAAGTCATGAGATCTCAGGGTCAGATTCCTTCTGCAATGACTCTGACATGTCTGATGCTTTGGGACACAGCTTTCAAGGAACCAGGGTCACAATGTCACGCAAGATCTCTTCTTGGCACCTGAAAACGTGCAAGCTTAAACCTGCGATGCAATGCAACTCCACAGCACAAACCTGAACTTCCAATGCAACTCCAGACCCTTGATCTGCACACCTGATCTCGAAACGCTTGCTACTGCTCTTCAATAATCTTTCTCGCTGCTCATTGCCAAACTTCAAACAGAGATGACTGTGCATGAGATCGTATTTTGGGGTCAAAATAAGGCGTGTTTCAAACGTCTCCCTCTGCTGTGTCGTGGCCTTATTGATTTGTTTTGGGGTCAGATTCCGTCCTCCAAAATGTCGCCCGTTGACGCATTTTGCAGCACCTCCTCAAAAATGTCAATCCGAGTTTCCAGGTGCAAGATGGATTGCTGCCCACGGAACGTGAAACTGCGCAAGTCCAGCGTCAACACTCCAACACGCCCAATGTTTCCATTGCGTACAACAGCGACTGTGGCGACTCCGGACTCTACAACGTTCTTGGTCTTATTTTGGATTTATTTTCCAACAAACATGGAGAGACTTTGTTGGCAAAGTTGCAAAGCATCTTGACTTCTCCATGGGTCATTCAGCTGCAAATGAAAACCTTGTTGCTGTTGCAAAGCTTGTTTGCTGTCTCCACCATTCTGGTGTCAACACTCTTGAAGTTCCTGCGCACACTGTGGTGCCCTTGGTAAACGGAGCAAATTGAAAGGCTTTCCAGAAGACATGGCTGTGAACACACAGAGGTGGAGCTGCCACCAACAGGCATGTAGCTGCAGTACTTACCAGACAAGGAACACTCCAGTTCAGAAGTGAATCAACTTCGAAATGACCCGCTCCACCTTGAGCAACTTGCAAGCTCCACGATATCTCGTCAGCACCATGGGCGTTTTTCCATTGGAGGTCCGTATGCTACTAAAAAAACAATGCCAGAAACTACCGGACGTGCGCAAGGTTCGACCCCTGCTTCGGATCCGAAAATGGTTCCCAAAATGGTTCCCAGAAAAACGGTTCGCAAGAAGAAGTGTCCAATCTGGGGCAAACACAGCACTATTTTGAGAACTGGCCCGTTGGCTCCAAACTGGGCAATTTGGATTCCACAAAACAACATGTGCCCTTCACACCCAATCCTCCAACTCTGTCTGAATCAAAGCAAATCGCCTGCAGAAACGATTGCACCAAGCCCTGGCGTGTCGTTCTGCGACACCAGCTTTGCCATTCCGCCCATGCGCCAAAGTAAGCAGACGCTCAGACGCATGACCATGGTCTTGGGTGTCCAATTCAGCATGGTAATGCTCCGCAACTGAAGCCAAATTCACAGAACCATGTTCTGATTTGCGCTGGCCAATCACTAGGCTTGCTCCATTCTGGACTGACTGGCACGTTCGGCAACTGCCATCTGAATCTTGCAGCTAATCAGAATAACACTGCAACGCACACTTGCTGCGCGCAAAGCGAAAAACGCGGGTAGCAAGCCTTATGGTAAACTACACTTCCCCTGGATCTTTAAGTTCACAGCAGGCTCTCTAAATGAGTCCGGTACAGTCCAAAACTCGTTCTCACACTCTTGCAACTCTTCAAGTCAACAACAACTCAAGCTAACGTGGTGCACTCCCTCGCGTCCTTTTTACACACACTTGAGCCAAAAGTAACAGTCATTCAAAGACTGTACATATGCATACTACACAAAAGCAAATCTTTACAAAAAACTTCTAAACACTCGAAAACGCTAAAGAACCCTTTCAACTTTCAAGAAACAAACTACCGTGTTAAAGTCCGGCTCTCTCCTTTGCAGAACACAAGCCAAACAACACAAAACAACAACAACCAAACAAAGCAACAAGCACGAGCGAGGTGGCCATCCGACAAATGGATTTCTTCACCCCCTCTTGAACATTCCGCTCGGAACTATAGGCTGACATCAAGCCTTCTTATTTTTCTTCAGTGAGGACAGACACTTCGAACACGAGTCTTTCGACATTGGTGCAACCATGCCTTTGCAAGACGGATTCAAAAGAACCTTGCTCCCACTCACTGGGAACTAAACCTTCTCACACACTGCAATGGTATACCACTCACCGTGGTAGGCTCTTTCTTCAAACGGCTAAATTCAGCACGCTCACGACGCCGACTCAGACAGCAGCAGGTCAGCAGGCTGCCACAAATGACTCCCGCTGCAAAGACCATAGCGGCCGCGGCTTCCAGGCTAAGCGCAGCAAGCATTGTTCCCACATCCAGGGCCATCATCATACCTCAGGATGGTATGGGCGAAACATCAAACTTGCGGTAAGCAAAAACGTGTGCTGTTAATTCGGCTTTACATCCTCTAAGGATTAGCTCGCAAAGCTTCTTGGGACAATGCTGCGTCTCTTTCCAATTGACATCTTTGGAAGACAAATGATCATTACGACCATCACAGACACAGGCCTTAAGACTCTCAAGCAAACGGGTACTATCAGTATCTATTCTCCATGTCTTCTTGACCAACTCATTCTTCTGCGTCAAATCGACTGAACACGCTTCAACGAAAGTGGAATACAGAACTCTTTCTCAGAAGCTCTTTCGTCTGATTCCAATAAGCGCATCGCTTTGGCCATTCAATCGCTACGAAATCAGGTTACTTCTGACAAACGCAGAAAGCCTTTCCAAAGCTTCTTTTGGGTTCGATACAACTCTCCAAGATGACCCACGTAATCCTGACCATATTTCTTGAGACAAATATATTGAAACGGACATCCTCCGGCGCACGGAATCGACGACCATAAGACAACAAGCTTTCCTTTCTTTTTGTGACTCAACATCGACTCTCTCGTCTCTTCGATTGTGCCCGTACGGGTTCCGTCATCTGCCTCCGCAATCATCAATACTTCAACACCTTCCAAACGCTCTCCTTCAGCTTTCATCTCAGATTCCGGCGACGTGTAAAACTCAACATATCAAAAGACTCTTACACGAAACCTTCTCTAAGATCCATCACCACCTTCCGATCCAATCGTATGGAATTTCCAACGTATTCAGAAAACCTCGAGCAACCCCTACCTTCTCCAAGCGCTGCAACGTGACTGCTCTCGACAACACCTTGGTCATCAGATCGCCGCAATTCTCTGCACCTCGAACGAATGTGATGGAAATCACGCCTTTTGTAGACCGCATCCTGCAAGAAACAGATTCGAATTTTTTTTCCACGAGTACGGACGCCGTGTGGGCATGATGCCCAGGTCATCGTTGAAGGAAGGAAAGAACAATCAGATGGTGGAGAAAAGAACAAGGACAACCAAAACAACCCAAAACAAAACAAAGCACAGCCCACGGGCCGAGTCTCCACCATCTTGTAGTCTTTCCTCTGTGCTAGGTGAAACAAGTGAAACGCAAACTAATGGCTAGTAAAGGGCCTGAATTCACGAACGAAAAGCATGGCGGCGCAGTCTGTGCTCTAGCAGAGTCTCCGAAAAGGCTT